AGAGCCCAATAATAAGAATAATTTTCTAAGGTAACATTAAATGAAACTGTCCAAAGAGAAAAAGTTTTTAAAAATTAAAACTGGATAAAAAATCGTAAAGATTCCTGTCTTTTTCTAAGTGTAATTGTAAAATTTAGAATTTCGCCTAATCAAAATAATCTAAATGGACTCCCATGCAAATTTTCTATATAGATTTTTGAATTTAAATTTGTTGTCTATTAGATATTATATATTTACTAATCAAAACCCTTAAATATTGTTTTGTGCAATCCTGTGTAATTAATCCAATAAAGCTAATTCCAATGATTTATAAGTCACTTTATATTTCTAAGAAAAATGCATGTCCATGTAATTGTTGGATATTAATTTTTTTTACCAATAAAATAGCTGTCAACAAAATTCATTGATGATGTTCAACAAGCATTTAACTTTCAAAGCGTTTACTTGAACTATTAATATTTTGATGTAAAACCACGTAAGCTTACTTATTGGCAGGAAACCTTTTTTGTTAGTCCAGCCGGGTCAACGGTTTAAATGATTTTCTCACTTTAACTTTGTGAATAAAAAGGTAATAAAGATTGGTTAATAAAGAAAATTTTATTTTCAACTGTAAAAAATTCTAGGTATGTTTAAAATTTTCCAAAAATTTTATAAAAAAAAGCCTTTTTTAAGTAACATAACCAAAAAAATTTGTTTNAGTATAACACGTTCAAAAAAATTAAAAACTGCTATTAGTTACGTTTTTCCAAATTGTCACAACTACAAATAAATTTTATAAACGTACGACATCTATAAAACAATAAGTTTTTAGTAATAGTTTCACAGAGTCTTTCTAATGGGCATTTAGTTGTCGCAGTGATAATGCAAAAAAATTCCAATAACGACAGGTTTTTTTATTTTTTCAACACTATTAAAAATCTAAATAACAATTTTTAGTGATAGAGAAAAATGCATGTTTGGTTAGAAAAATTTATTTTTTATAGAATTTTCAACAATTCTACAAAAAAATTAGAAAACACATTTTGACTGATCACATCTACCAAGGGTAGTCGAAAAACCTGAAATTCGGCCAAAAAAATCGTTTTATATTACTCTTCGATCCAAAAAGTTTAAGTCACTTTTACCCCCCTCACCCAAGTAGACCTTTTATTGAAGTGTACTCCATTGTCATTTTATTTACGTTGTCAATAAAAATGTAACGATCAAAAGTTTGCTTTAAAATATTCGTAGTAATAAAAAAAAAATACTTTTTACTGCATATTGAATACACGGGATGATGCTTTTAATTACGATTATAAAAAATCATATTTTTACTTGTTTATTTTTACCTGTCTTGGAAATAAAACTATTTTTTCAAGTATTTTACAATCAGATCTGATACATTATTGATTTCTTAAAGTTACTATGCATGCGATGAAAGGAAGAACCTCATTTTTTAGAGAGAAAAGAAACATGGTTATTTGACGATTCAAATTTTTATTCAAATGTTATATGAATTCAATTTATTAAATACAACCTCTATAATATTTTACTTGGTTAAAAAAAGCAGTATAATACACTTGTGTGTACTACACTGAAGTGTGATAAAATAAAGAAGGTCTACAATTGTATATTTATACTGCCATCATAAGGACAACTGTGGCATCGACGAATTACGTAATGAGTGGATCTTGTTATTTTCCCTAGTTTTATGCAGCGATCTAAGAAATGTCCGTGTTAGCGTGAGTATATTCGTTACTTTTCTATGTTTCAAATCTAAGTAAGAACGAACAGTAAACTAATTGTGGCAGTTTCAAAAACTTGTCAACGTTTTATTTGTAGATACCGCATTTCTGCTTATGACGGCGGATTGGTTGACGAAATCAAAGTTGAGAGCGACAAATATATGCCAAATAAGCATTATTTATTTCTGCCTCTGTTGTGCACATGATCTTACATCTCTCTTTCGCTGGTCAGAAAATACGCACAACTGTAAGAAATTATCACTATGTAACTAGAAATTAAAAATTAATTTAATCGATTTTTATTATTTACATCTAATTTTTAATAAAACTGAAGAAATATGTTTTTACTAATCTTTAGCGTAATCTATAAATGCAGATGTTAAATTTATTTACAAAGCACAAAATGCAAAATAATTTATTGTGCTTTCAAACATTTTTCTTAAACATTCAGTTTAAGTTATTACAGAGTAACACCACTGTTGTTTGTTTCGGAACACATCACTCAAAGGAATAAATTTATATTTTAATTAAACAATGATAAAAATCGCAATCGTACATACGTCTTCGTTTTTGTAGATAATTTTATATGTTTACAATATTTTGCAGCTGTTTTATATGTGGAGATGTACAGATTTACATCAAAATACTTCGGTCTTCATATAAAATTCGACAAAGTGTTACAAATTTAATATAGCTTTTAGTAATAATTTTTAATCTCGTCAATCATTTGTCAGTAATTTAAAAAATTTTTACAAACATTACTTATTTGACGATAATTTGTACTACACCCCTGTACTTTATTCTCATTTATCGTCTTTCACGGTTTAATTTTTTCTATAATAACAGCTGCTTTTAAGGCTTATCTGTCTCACGTATATAAAAAGAAATTTTTAACCTAGCCATGTGTAGAATAAGCAATGTCTTCGTTAAAAATGTTCGTTAAAATATTATTTACACCTTTATTATCATTTCATACGTATATTGTATACATCATAGGAAAGTTTGATTATGTTTTCATGATGTTTAAAAATACACCATACTGATCGCATTTATTGCTTAATTTTACAATTTTTGTATTTCATAATAAAATATATTTCTTACTTGTAAAACGCTTTTCCATAAATTTTCATTCTTAATGATCTCTTAGTATATATTGTCAAGCATACGTTAGCACCGATTCGTTGTGAGTCAATCTTACGGTATTGAATTAAAAGTATAAAATCATAAATAACAAAATTTAGAGTGTAAATACGTACATGCAGATATTTTTAAAAAACTTTGTTGGTAAAATACCAACAAAAATATACGATAATTAATTAATTTACTCTAAATGATTCCCACAACTAAATATTCGAGGTACATTAATATTTGACGAAAGTTTAAAAATATTTAAGTAAAAATATATAGAACAAAAATTTTTTACAAATAGTTAAAGACGACTTAAGACGAAATATTGCTTAACTCAATTCCAGGTATAAGAAACATAGTATGAACTTTAATTTATTACATTTCAAAGTAAAATTTTCGCTTTATGTAATTTACGTAAGATAAAATGAGGTAATATTAAAAAAAAATAATAATAATCAACATTTAAGTTCTTATAAAAGTTATAATTATGCTTTGATACTGTAATCTCAGCACGAAAATCCACAGTATTATTGCAAAGACAAAAAACGGCGACAAAATGTAGAGAACACGTTGGGTAGTCTTAATAATTTGAAAGTGTAGGCGATTTAGATTTTAGGTGGATACTTACAATCAATGGAGCTAAAAATATTGTGTCAGCACCGATACACAATGTAATTTACCTTCGAATCTTGCAATTTTACACCCAAAGCGCAATTCTATTGTCAATCCCACTACTCGACTTTGCATGTGTCAATGAATGCAAAATCGTCGATTGTCAGTCTAATCCAACGCCTTCATGCGAATCACTGAGCATTGCATCATGATATTTTTTGTTAATCTACTTCGAAAAGGAATCTCAATAAAGCCAAGTTGCCTTCACTGGTTCAGTTTGATTTTTTTGTTTATTCTTCTCGCGGTTGGGATGTTGTTTTGCCAGATTACCACGTGGTGATGAACGAACATGATTGTCTCATTCGAGATCGTCTCATGAGTGAAAATCACATGTGCTGTAAAATAAATTGTGTCTTGATAAAATAAAATAATTAAAAGTATTATAGGCACTTCGCAAAAAAATGAAATTTTTTACGAAAAAGTGATTTGAAATATTTTAGCAAAACAAAGAATATTTAAAGATTTTGATAATCCAATATTATTTTGTTCGAGTTACTCTAAAAAAAATCTTTACCAAGGAAATACGAACTGATGCTTATGTAGCATACTTTTCTTTGAAATGTTTCTTCTGAGAAGATTTCAAGATACCTATAGTGTTTTTCATTAATTTTTAGGCAGAAATTTTGAAATATAATGATTTTTTTTGTAAAATGATTTATACCTCAAATAGAAAGTATAAAGTTATTTGTCTAAAAATATTCTTCAGATGTTTTTGTCCTTGGGGCGAAATAATGGCATTTGGGGTAATGAGAGGATAGCTTTATCTTCATGCATTATGTACTTATTTTGATAATTTCCAAACAATAAATGTTGTATTACATTTACATGATTAAAGTGTTAAAAATCAGTTTCATAGAATATTGAAAAGAAGATGTAGGTATGTTAAAGATAAGTACGGAGCAATTTAAAAAGTTTAACTAATTGTAAGTAAAGAATATCAATGCTATAATTACTAATATTGCAATTAATTGACTCTTTCTAATACAACGTTTAAAGCAAATAAATGGTGACGATAGCCTTAATTTCTCTTCAGTAAAATGTAAACAGTTGCTTTATTTACAATGAGATATATTTTAAAATGAATGAACATATTAAATCAGACGAATGTAATAAAAACAATTATGCAACTTCATTAACAAAATTACGAATTAACATATTAAGATTCATGTTAGTAATAATAGCCTAAAAAATGACAGGCATTTAGTGACTAATTTTCAGTCACGTACTCGATAAAACTATAACTAAAGTGTACAGTTTTTTAACTAATTTAGATAATTGTAATCAAATTTTATGTGTACTCCATATTTCCATGAATGTCACTGTTCACGCTTCATACAGTAATATTTTCGGTGACATATAATCATTTTTATTAATTAAATTTTAAGAATTTATAAAGTTTCTATAAAATATGAAGTTATTTGATTGTAGGAATTACCGTAATCGAAGCCCTCTTTGCAAAATACTCCAAGAAAATCTTTTTACCAGCACATCCATTAAGATTGCTGCCCTGATAGCATAAATAAGAATGCAATTATTCCGGAAACCTTGAATAATTTCACATGCTCACCGATAATGTATTTACAAAGCCACTCCGTAACCTTTACAGCAGCTGAATTCTCTTTCGCAAATCTTTTCAACTTTCTTGCCAAAAGAAAAAGAAGTAGTCGGCAAAATTTTAATTTTTAATTAATACCGTTACGATAATGCTGATCTAGACAGCACATGAATATGTAGTCGTTGAAAAATTTTCGTTACTGTTGTTAATTCACATTGCGAATCTTACAAATCAGAGTACTTTTCCGCAGTTAAACGAAAATAAAAAAACTCATTGAAAGAAAAAACCCAACAATTGGTTGCTCACGACTTTCGTCTTCCCCGACCGCGATACTCATAAAATCAAACCGAGGGGCTGTGCACTCTAAAGTCTTTTGGAGACTTCCGAAATCTTTGAAAGACTTAGAATGACTTACAAAGTCTTTTTTAATGACCTTAAGCTATATATATATGCACTCTTGAAGTCCTCGTAAAAAGTCTGAAGTCTTTGAAAGACTTCCGAAATCTTTGAAAGACTTAGAACGACTTATGAAGTTTTTTTAATGACTTCACGAGTGCGCAGCCCCTCGAATCAAACGATGAGAGAAAAAAAAAGCAATTACAAACCTCGGCCTTGCGCGAGTCGACGCTGTTGAGAGCCACGCTTTCCGGAGTGTCGATCTCTTCATCCTTAGGCGAGAACAGCGCCTTGTAGGCCAGGGAAGCGAGCAGAGCGCCCCCTAGTGGCCCAAACCAATAGATCCAGTGGTTCGTCCAGTAATTGTTCCAGAGCGCGGGCGCGAATGTCCTCACGGGGTTCATGCTACAGCCCGTGTAGGGCCCGACCGAGGTTGCCAGGGCCGTCACTGCCAAGCCGAATTTTATGGCCACGGAGTCGGCGTTGTGGGCGTTCCGCGAGTCCCAAGCAGCGCAAGCTATCAGCATGAGAATCGCCGTGCTCACCCCCTCGATTAACAGGCCCTGGATGGCATGGACGTTTTCATGGAGGTCCGTCACGCAGAACGAGTCCAAAGAGGCGTTTGGGCTAGCGCGCAGGTAGTCCACTGGTGTCACTACCTGAAAACATTTTTTTTTTTTTTTTCATTCATTAGCTTTCAAGAGCCCAATAATAAATTGTAGAGATACATCCCACGTTTAAATAATTGTTGCTTCTGTTTCAAAGTGCATGTACACCCTTTCCTTTATCATGCGTAAAACGAGATAAAACAGCGCGATTGTCTCGTTACTGTGAGTAAAAAAAAAAGTTGCGTTATTGTCAATTTGGACGAAAGAGGAAGGGAAAATAATCGTCCGGGGACATTGCGTTTCTCTCCAAGGTAAGAGACAGTGCGAAACGGGAAGAGAGATAAAATTCCCTCTCTCACAGAAAAATGATCTCATAAACATAACAGCCAAAAATGTAGGTTACGAAGGAAACATTTTAATGTGAATTGGATGTTGTTTTATTGATGAAATCTGTTGTTAAAATGTGTAAAATAATTTAATACTTGATTTCTTGTTCAACTGCAATTATTGTAAAAAAAAAAGTATTTATTAAAAAATCCTTGGGTTATAAAAATTGTATCGGATTTCATTCTCTTAAGAGCTAATGAAAATTTAATACTTGAGCTTGTCGAGCAAACCTCGGAGTCCAATAAAATCGATAAGTTAAAAATTTCTTTAACTAACTTTTCTTAAAGTCTTAGGAAAAACACTGTTACAATAAGTTCATGCAAAACGTTACCAGTCAACAGAAAAGACAATTATGCAATGTTTTTCAAAATTCAGCAGACACAGACACATATATCCCAATTAAAAATCTTTGATTAAGTATAGATAAATAATCGCCACGGTTACTCGTATCTGTGTTGATCATTAAAATTCAGCCTCATCGCTTTCTTGCATTAATATTCAATGTTAAAATGAAGCGGTAAGTTAAGCTTGATTGCGTCATCGTTCTAGCTTTGGTGACCCAAAGCAGCACCTGAAGACAAAATTTGTTCAAGAGCTTGGCTTCTCAAGAAAATCTTGTCTTAACTAAAGATACGGCTTGGGTCACCACATCTAGAGCCAAGCTAACTTAACATTAATTTAATCAATGATATTTTCAACCATGACTCTAAATATCAAAATCGAGCAAAATGGTAATATTGACACGAATCATGTACTGTGGTGATGTATCTTATACAGTGAATCAAAAATAAAATCATTGTGACAACTTAAAATTGCATCTAACAATGAGCAGTAAATAAACTAATTTTTTTTTATCGGACATTAAAGTTTACCGTAATAAACTAACGTAACATTAATGTTAAAACAATTTTTTCATTGGTGCATTCGTATAATAAATCATATGGAAAATTTTTCAGTACAATAAAAGATTCCTCTAAGTAATTTGTAGATGATATTTTGTAGATAGCAGATAACAACCTTAATGAAGGTACATTAAACTGTATTGGCTAATTTTTCTATTATGTGCTGTAATTTAACTTTATCAAATCAAGTCATACATTATAATACTACAAAACGAAGAAGTACGTCCAACAGCGTAGAGGATTATTAAAACAACATTTCCAACTTTGAACTCGTTTTCCTGGAAGTTGCGAAATGCTTAATAATTGCCATGCCGCCATACGGGCTCATTCGGTACCGCGGAATGAGTGCACCGCGACGAATGTCATTCGAGGGTCAATCAACAGCTCAATCATCGTTATCATCCCCCGCCTTCTGATAGAGTCGAGTTTGCTAATTGCGCATCAAGCGTATTGTTTCTATCATTATTTTCGTTTTTTGCCTCTCAACCGAGTTTTTTCTCCATCGAGTGATTCATCGACTCTGGGATAATAAATGCAAAAAAATATTTCAAAGCTCCGTGGATAGGTGTTGGATTGAGATCAGCTCGAGTTGCGATTGCGTAAAGTGGGTGGGACGGGACGAGCCTCCAAACGCTGCAGGAGACACGTGAGTCCTCGAGGCAGGATAAATTCACTTAACGTTACGGCTAAGAACTTTTGTTTTTTCTTTTATTTTGGAGTGATAAAACGAAAACGATCGATCGATATGTTTGTTATTGGCTTTATACATGTACTTATTAGTTTTTTTTTTTTTTTCTAGTACAAACGGAGCTATAAAAGTTTTGTTGAAAACTTGTTTGGATTTCCATGTCTGTGAGTCACGCAATTTAAGAAAAAGAGAAAAATTGAATGAAGATAAACGTAAATGCTTGCATGGTACTGACACTTGACATTGTTGAATTTGATAATCACGCTATTGTCAGTGTATGGACTTTCGGGAATAATTTATTGTCACCCCGATAAGGAGTGTATTTATACGATTTCAAAGCGTTGTCTCTCGAAAACTGCCACTGTATGAAAGATGCCACCAAAAATGCGAGGTCACGAACTTTTCGATACTGGAGAATGTATTTTTAGGCATACTTTTAGTGAAAAACACATTCATTTTTAACATAACTTCAGGAATGAAAAAAACTTCAATATAACATAATCAGTAAGGTTGAAAATAATTTTTTTCACTTTTATTACTTTCGGGGTAGTATTTAATTTTAGCACTGATAACTTTTATTTTTGTCCGGTTTCGAGGGTTTTAACTTCAAAATTTGAAAAACAATATTTTTTTAAAGAAATGTAGGGCTTACAAATAGATGTTTTGTTTAAATCTTTTCCTCTAATATACCTTGAAAAAACTAGAATTTTAGGATTGATGGATGAAGTAACTAAAGTTTCACACTTAAAAAAATAAAAATAACACTTTTTGCACTCAAAACTTAAAACACAATGATAACTTCTTTGTAATCATCGAAATTTGATATCTACTACCTAATTTACACTTTAAATGTTTTCTATGTATCTGGAGGCATATGTTTATGTTCTGAAGGTGAACCTTGAACAAATATTTTTACAATTTTTGGGAATCTTCTAACGCTCACAAAAATAACATCTCTCAGTGAATACATGTGTTCTTATTAGACAATTGTTATCTCTCATCATCGCCTGATTACCATTTAAATTTTCAAATGTATACGGGTCATTCTACTGAAAATGGCATATTTCATGTCCCAGTCGATTACAAAGTCGTTTAAAAAGATATCGATCTGAAAATTTTTTTAATTATTCAAGGGACGTTTACTACTAAAGGTACAACTGAATTCAGACCATAAAAGAGTATGTCTTTAGTTTGAGATGCAAAAAGGGGCTAAATTAGCGTTACGGGCTCATGTCTCACTCATAAATTTACAGTTTTTACAACTCCTGGAAAAAAATACGGATTTTTTAATTTTTTTACAGCACAAGATCTGAAAGTTATTAATGCAAACATTTTCATGCATTTTAGAGAATCAAAAAAAATTGTATCCAAGGATGCTGTTAACGTTGCAGGACCGAAATCTTGTAAATTAAACATTTTAACAGAAAATGATCTCACAATCGCACGCAATTGAGTTTGGGAATTGGAAGATTCTGTCTCCTTAAAATAAAAACCAAGAGCCCATAACGCTAAGGAATGTCATGTAACTTTTTGAAGCATTTGACTATCGACTCGGAAGGTGGCGGGTTAAAATTAAGCTATTATATATATATATAAAAATCGAGATTGTAACGCACCAAACGCAAATTAAACTTTGCTACTGCACTTATATGTATATATGTATGTGCGTTACAGTCTCGATTTTTAGATGATCTTATAAGAGCTTGTAACGCTCCTTTTTTTGCTAAAAGTCCGTAACGCTATCTTGTAACGATACAAAACACATTGTATCTTCACTGAGTGTTAGCTTATTGGCTGGAATATGTACTATATAGTAGTATGGGCAAGAATAAAGTTGAACAAGTACTCATTATGAGTTGTATTATCATGACTTTCAGATAATTTTTCGAACCCGTAACGCTCCTTTTTTTCTTGAATACCATTTTTTTAAAATCTCCGTAAATAATTTTCTAGTCCAGATCCAGCAGGACCCAAAAAATTTAAGCTCATTTTAATCACGGACAATGCCTAAAAATTTTTAGAAAAATTAAATACCCATTTTAAGTGTTCGTTCTGGCCCTCGAAATATGCCGTTTTCAGTAGAATGACCCATATATATATCTCAAGTTTATCTAACAGTGACCTGCTCGTACGGAATTGTCCTAGTATATTTTTACGATAGTAAGAAAAAAAATTGTTTCATTTTCAGTCGAACATGTCAAGACCAACGATTCGTTGCGCAAAGACCACTTGCGCTCTGATAGCTCAAAAAATGATTTATAATACTTTCACATATGTATCTAGTTTTTTTCCTACTTTGTGCTATTTCACAAGTTGCCAAATAATATAGATAACGAGTGGTACTAAATAATACATAGTATTTTTATATGTACTATATATTTTATATATAATATTTATATATAATATAGCTTGAAGTAATAAAAGAGTTTTTCGTTGTAAATAACTGGGACAAGGTGGCAATTTTTTCAGAGGACGTTTATGCCAAAATTGATTGTTTTACAATCTTCTGATTATTTAAAGTAAATGCTTTTGGATTATAAATCTATCAGAAATAAGTGCATTTCAATCCTAGTAACTTCTACGAAAAAAATTATCAAAAGCTTTAAACTTGACTTTTTCAAGGCGTGAAACCAACCCCCGTGTCTCCAGCATTAACTTTGAAATTTATTTTAAACAACCTGTGTAACAAAAAAGGATCATCGTGTGGATAAATTAAATATAAACCCATTGTTTTACACATAGGTAGGCCACCCGTACGATTTTTAAAAAATTAAATTGAAATAAACATCTTTTCGAATTTTAGCAGACGTCAAAGGTCTCCATACTATACGATTACGGAGGAGTATGATAGAATATGTATATATATCATGATAATGCAGAAACATATATGTCTACTGTCAAAAGCTGTAGTAAAAGATATAATTGTTATTTTATTCGTTATTTCTAGATATTATGACCATATAAAGGAGTAGTATTCTAAGTATTGTATATAAACAATAGTCACATTGAAATGTTGTCACAATTAAACGATTAAAATTCTGAATCATTCTATGAGAAAATTTTTTTCCTGCATAATGTATATGCTTTTGGCTGAAAAATTTTAGATATGAAGGTTATTACAAGATTCAAATACTTCTTCAATTGCACTACTTTTTTCTGAATTTTTTTTTTCAATAGTAACGAATTTGCTAGAATTTTTTCGCTAGATAAACTTTCTTAAGCACTGTGTTATAAGTAGTAGCTAAAATAATTTTTTTAACCCAAACATAGATAACCAATAAAGAGGTAATCGGTATACCTGCATTGAATGTTGCTTCATTCAGCTATCATATTTTCGTATCAAAAGTAAAGTTGTCAGGTAATCAGTCTTAAGTAATATATAATACTCAGAAAGCCATTTTAATTAAGGTAATCGACAATTCGATATTGCTATCATGCCCGACAACTGATACATCTATATCTTTGGATAGTGCAATGTGAATTATATAGTGTTAACTATGTATACTCACACTTGTGACAGTTTTGGGATTCTAAAATAGTTTTCTTTTCTTACCTTGAGCAGACCAAAGCCAAGAATGGCCCCAAAGGCTTGTGCCACAAAGTAAACCAGTCCTTCGCGAATAGTCTTCTTGCCAAGTACCACAGCACCTACTGTCATTGCTGGATTAATATGTGCTGCACTGATATGTCCAAAGCACTGAAAATCGAAGTATTAAAGTCACTATAAGCATGAAAGATTTTAAACTTAAAAAAAAAAATATATTAATAATAATTTCATAATTTTACTTTCTTTCTTTCAAAGTATAAGTGTTATTATTTTCAATTTAAAAAAAACACCTATTTTATGTATTACTTTTTTAGAGTCAGAACATATTTTTGATGGTATGATTTTTTTAAACTTTTTTTTTTTTTTTTCATTTTGGCGACAAAATCATGAGATGCAAAAGCCTTTTCTTGAATTATAAAATAATGAAAAATTTTTGCGAGCTCGGAAGCATTGTTATTTTCGTGGCAAAAAATTTTTAATAATTTAAAATAGCATACAGCTAATTCTATCGTGAAAGGTCTAACAATATCCCCACGGGATATCCAAAACATCTCTATAGTGCACTACATTTTTCAAGAGGGAGTCCAAAACATCGTCAGTGCATTTTATGTTTTCAACGAAACCCCGAAAAATGTTTCCAGTGGCTTCAAGGTAAACGAAAGTACAAATCAGTGGTAGTTAATGTTTTGGCAGGTCATAATGTAGACATTCAAAAAATATCATGCCATTGTAACGAACACGATTTGTCAAAAAGTGAGAGGAATTGGGGCCCAAATCGGTAAAACCACAAAGTTTAAACAAACTGCCTTTTTTGTCTTTCGAAAATAACGATTAATCGTTGTCGGAGCTATTGTTGAAATCAATGTCACTAAAAAGAACATTTGCAGCTTTTCCAAAAAATTTAAGGGCACTATTATTATTTCGAACCCCCCGCCCCGACACAAATTCACAAATGTATAATACATAGAATTTTCAACACAATTACGAAAATTATTTAAAAAAAATCTATTTCGTCAACTATTCTTTGATTATTGTCTACAGTGGGTAGTTCATACATCCATATATTGCATTGCAACTAAAAGATTCATTACGTTGTACTATTGCTAAAATTAATGCTATTATAATGATCGCTTTAAAACGAGATACGAAATATTACGACTGTTTCATGTTGAAGCAACAATTATTTAAAAAATTTATAATTATCAACAGTTGTAGAAAAGTAGGTTTATAATTTGTTACAGGTGGTAGCATAATAATCATATCGATGTGACGATCTGTCGACTGCGGACAAAAAATAAAAGTATAATTGACGTAATGGATTTTGTAATAACAATTTTCGGAATTGTGGTGAAAATTCGATGTGCACATTCGTCAATCCGCTACTGATGATCAAGTGAATGTCGTGAGTTTACTGATAAGACTGAATATTCACTGCTGATATCACAACCACGATCTCGCGAGTATTTTTTTGTCATTATCTACACCCATTTTCGATGTTTTCGGAGATGTCGAATTATTTTAGTTTTCGAGAAATAGGGTGCATGACAGAGGAGATAAAGCAAATTGCAGCTTCTTACCTGTATAACCAACATAACCGTCAAGCCAAAGTTCAACGTTATCTGGAGATGAGGGGGCACCGAGGTCAAGCCGCCGAGACACCCCATGCATCCCAGTAAGAGTAGTATGGCTGTTCCCAGCATCTCCGCCAGCGCCGTTATTAGCAACTCGCGAACGGATGTGGAGTCGAGCATCATTTTTTTCTCAAACTCTGAAACAGAAAAATCAAACGCAATATTAATGTCAAACCTGAACGGGCACAGATGCTTCCTGATTCCAAATGGAAAAAATACATGAATAAATACGAATACGACCGAACCACTAGTAAACTAATCCAGGGAATGATGGAGATTGATGCCGACACTTTTGCCGCCGAATTTTAATTGTAACGTCGTTAGCGTATCTTTTCGTGTTGTATATATAAACAGTTTAGCAGTGCCGACCGCTTCTTTGAAATTTCTTTTGTAATCTTGATCAAGATATTCCATATCGAATCAATTTCTGATATTCATCTAATATATGATACAATGAGCCATTGAACGTTTTTTCGTATTTTTATTACAATTATTATTGAGTGTATGGATTTTTTAATTATTTAGGTTGTAATAAGAACAACGAAATTCTTCGGTTTTCCTTGTCAACGTATTGGAAAAAACATGCACACACATAACAATCAGTTGTAATATCTAGTATAAAAAAGTTAATTATAAAATTGACATTGATAAAAATAAATGTACGTAAGTATTTTTTGATGAAAAATTTTTTTTTTTTTTTGAAATTCAAATACTGCTGTCAATAAATTCGTACGTCAATGAAGTGAGGTTTTTTAATTCATATTTTCTATAAATGAATAAACACATGGAAAAAATTTTGGTGAATAAAAAAATTGAGTCCAGAAGTCTTGAGCCAAGTGATGGATGATGAAAATAAAAACACAGAGAGCAGTAAAGCTCGGCAAAAGAAGCGAGTGAAATGAAAGTTGGCCCAATCCTGCTGAAGATGCCCACGTGTATAGTTCCTCAGAAAAGTATAGTCCAACGTCGACGAAAATGCTACGAGATGAAAAGAAATAAAAAAATTACGAGAGAAGCTCACTTAGAAAATATGAAATTTCTTTTCTATCTTGTCCCCGAAATGGAAAAGAAGACGAAGGAGGAGTACTGGAGAACGAATTTATGTCAACAAGAAAATAGTCGCAAGTGGTCCTCCTCTGACGATTGGCTATACTGAAGTACCATCGAGTTTTCGGATTACAAATAAATTTTTTTTTTTTTTTTATGCTCTGTATGTACCTGAAGCTTACTTTTTGTAGACTAGACGTATTTTAAGTTTTCATTTTAAATCTATATGCCATGAAAATCGTTATGTATGTTTCGAAAGATTACATCCTTTAATATTGTTCATTCAAACAAATGCTGAGTCTATTTCTAATTGACTATCACTATGATTTGGCATCTCTATAATCTCGATTGGTATGGCTCTGCTTCTACATTTTTTTTTATTCTTTGTGCATGTTTAAATGCTGTTTGTTTTAAAACTTCTGTTGCAATATTTCATTATCGTCGCCTCGGTCTCCGTATCTCTTTCACCTGTTCATTCTATTATGACTCAGTTTCCATAGAGCATTTTGGCTCTCAGAAGTATATTTCTATCAGGATGGAATCATAGACTGCACTGACGCAATTGATGCTGAAAAATTTCTCCCAAAATTATAGGTATCTCATTTCTTTTACTCAAAGCAGTTGGCATTCTTATCAGCTCTTTCCGCGCGACTATTAGCCCATCGAACTTGATTTGCCGACGGCTCGAGGGAACAAAAAAATCGGGAGCATTGAAAAGAAGAAGAAGTTCCTCCCAAAGCAACTTTCCAGGGGAAAATCGTTTAGCCGAGCGAAAGATTCGCAAATCACGGGCGCGCAAACGACGGAGGTGAAAATCTCCGCTTTAATACAAATTGCCCGTCCTGAATTTGCATCGAGCCGGGCGCGCTCCGCCCGCAAAAGGTGGAAAGTAAGCTCAAGCACCCAAGCGGCCATGAATAAAAGAGCGCGCGCCCGATGCTGAAGGATGCAATTTTTCCGCAAGCTTTTACCCAGATTCACCTCCTTCCTCTATCTTTGTTTCCCTCCCTCTCCACCGAGGATTCCGTGTATCGTGCCGAGGTGAAAAACGATACTTCTTTGTTGGGTCACGCGTCCAAGGTGTCCCCGATAAGTATTCCTATTTGAATTTCCGTGGATTCTCGCCTGACCTGTGTTTTATTCGCCTACTTTCGGTGTTCACGACCAGGTGACACTGATCAATTTTCGATTCCAAAACTTTTAACGAAAACGAGCCACAGGATATTATATTCTGCTCCGTCACGTCCTCACGTTGCTTTTTAACCGAATAGTTGAGGGACAAACAGTTAGTTGACTAATTTTATTCGGTGGTACGCGAAATGGGGGAAAAAAATCTGACGCCGATTCGCAACTTTGCACAATTAACAATCGTTACAAAACTGGAGTTGCCAGTACCTATTGTTGGCTCATTGTCTCCCGCGAGCACACAGCAGTCATTAAATTCTGGGGCAGTCGTTAATAAACTTGTAAATCCATTAACAAAGTTTTTATGACGCCTATACGTAATATTGTTGTCAGCGCAAATAGTAATCATCAATACACTGGCTCGTTACTGTGTTCCTGAGTATATACATGGCAGACAAAAGTGAGTAATAAAAAACCCCTGTGGTTGTTACAAGGTACCCTGCAGTCATATTCATGAGCCATTGGTGAGTTGTTAAAAAAAAAGTTGTTGAAGTTTTCTTAACAAGTACGGAATTACGAATAAAAAACCTTGTTTTGCATTGTGTTTGCTTTGTGACATCTACCAATTGTTTTTGACTTTTCATCGAATACCCAAAATATTTCCTCCTTTTCTCAAAGCGTGAATTTTACTCATAGACCATGAAAAAATTATTTATATCGCACGTTTCTCGGAGAACTTTGCTGATTCAGTGAATTTTTTTGATATAGTAACGTGGTACGAGGAAAAGATTTTACGACTCCATAAATCCTGCGGTATTTCATTGAATCCCAATATGTTGCGTGTCATTGACTTTGAAACGCCGTACACGTGCTTACCGATTTTTTTACTGCAACATTTATTTTAAACGTAATATAGGAAGATGATAAAAGAGTTTTGTAAAGTTTCAATTTCCGGAGTTTCACTTAATGTTTATTTTATAATAAGAATGGTGAAGAAAAATAAGTAAAATGAAGGGTCAAAAATGTTGAGGAATTTAATTATCTAATTACCTTATGGGATTTAATACCAATGTATTCTAACTATTTTACTAACAAAAAATAAAAAAAATAATACCAAAAGTAAATTACACTGGACTTCTAAAAGTCATCGCCGATCGAATTACCGCACTTAAACACAAAAAAGTCGAAGTTATATCCTTCGGTCTTGAATAAAATAACACACTTGGTTAAAATGTTTAAACTGTTATATCCACAGACGTACTGATTGAATTATTTCAATCACGCAAATTTAACAAATTAACTCTTACAATCAAAATTGCCGTAATTTTACCATTAGACGATGAATTTACGAATGCCTCTGACGATTTGGTAACTTTATTGGATGAAAAATTGATCTATCGATATTCGTAACTCTCCTTTTTCAAGAAACATAGTTTCCATGCCACTATTAATAACCTCTTCCTCCCGTAAAACGTGGGAAATGTTTTGAAGCAAGAATTACCTGTTGTAGTAACGTCTTTTCCAACGATCGAAAACGATCTTCAAATTAATAAATAAATAATAGAACTACAATGACTTAAGAAATCATTCCCACACAGCTTATCCATTCAACTCAAAGTAATCTGCGCTGTCGCAAATTTTTCTAGTCACCAGAGGTGATTATTTAATTCACAAGCTAATAATCTACTCGGAAAATTTCCAAAAGTTGAAAAACGACCGGCAATCGCCACTCGACTAGTCGTGCCTGTAACGACGATTTTGGAAAATCTTGTGTACTTAAGCCGATCGCACGAAATCAATTTATCATGCGTTTTATAGCCAAGCCAGTATTTTTCTCGCCGAGCATAATAAGCCGAGACTCATAATAAATATAATCACCGAGCGCGTGGTTGTCTCAGTTAGGGCTGTAGCGAGCGCGAACGAGTGGATAAACAGCAATTTATGCGCTAATCAATATTCACGTTGATCGTATTATTTTCTATTATTTTCCTCGTAAGCATGTGCGATGTGTTTGTGGAATCGCACGTAAATATCAATGAGCTTGTAAAACGAGGTCTCGTGGCTATCTTTTTCCGCACACTTCGATGCAGAGCCAGCGAACACCTCTGCCTTAGAGTAGGAAAAAGAAGCACCATCTATTGGAATTCCAAAAGTCACGTGACTCTCGCGATATATATAGCCACTTATTGTCATCTCCTCAAAAATATGTTATTCAAAGGCTTTTATCTTGTTACAATCGCTGAACGTTTAAAAAAATAATAAAAATAGAATTGCACCCATAAGGCCTGTCTTATTTTTTCCCCAATTGGCTATATATATCGCGAGTCGCGTGAACTTTCAGAATCCCAATACTTAAAAGGTGACTTCTCCAAACTAGGATGCCATCATATGAGATTGCGGTAATATTGGATACTTATATTTGAACATCACAAATTCAAAAATTTCATAATTTACTTTCAAACTAGATTCCTGCTAACATAACCTCTGATTTTGTCGACTAACCAAATGACTTTTTACGTGGGTACCTAAACGGGGTTTCCAGTTATACCATGCCACTACTAAAGAGCGTCTTATATCACAAATCAGGTGTATACTTAGCTATTTAACTCGATGTCGATACGGGTCAATTTGAATTGAATCGAACTCTGATCGTCGAACCCAAACGTGCGGGGGGCCTCGTGACGTAATCGTACCCTCATTGGAGCGCGATTCCACATTCCGTTTCTATAACCATGCATACCATAACAGCATCACCTCAGAATCGTGCGCACGTGCCAGAGGAGCTAAACGACATGATTCAGTTCCCAGATCCCAGCGATACTGCGATAGTCGTAAGTTCACATATATGCGAGAGAGTGCGACGGAACGCGGAACGGGTCAATTCGGACCTGTCCTGTGTATTCAGTAATAGGCGAGCAAAGTGCAAATATCTCGCAACCCCATGGTTCCCCGCTGATAGGGGGAG